CCTCCTGTCCATAGCTGACATGAGATTTATTCCCATGGGATGACTGGTCTAGTAACGAGTTGTAGTTTTAAGGCCAAATGTGTAGTTTCTGCAGCAAGGTATTTTTAAATGAGGCAGGCCTGAGAAAGTGCTAAGAACTGTAATTGTGGTTGACTGAGAAGAAATGACAGAAAGGGGACACTGTGGAATATCTTCTCTTGAGCAGGGTATTTTTTCAGAAATAGCCTGTGTCCTGGGTTTAAGAAGAGCTGTGCACGGTAGAAAAATGGTGCTTTTTGTGTTTGTGTGTGGTTAAGTGGTTTTGATTTTAAATGAACGCGCATGTGGTGTTGTACCCAATACTTTGGAAATGGATTAGCAAAGAAAACAGGATCACTGGAGCTTAAAGCAGATTGACACTTGGATGGCATCCTGATTGGTATCATGTACCTACAGTGATGCATGTAGGTATCCTTAACCCTTCTTGTATATGGTGATTTGGGTGGAGGCAGAAATCTTATCTGACGTGTTACCACAGCTGCTGAATATCAGAGTTACTTTTTAGTGTGTTTTTTAAAATAAAGACTGATCTCTAAAAGACAGTGATCTTGGGTGTAATCAGAGTGATAATTATCTCTTCAGTCTTCATTGAGTCTAAAAGAAACTTATGCCAACAAGTGAGGCCCTGAGCTGTGTGATGTGCATGCAATTTCCCAAGCACAGAGCTCAGTTATACCATTTATGTCGGATCTTCTGGGCTGAAAATGGTATTTGTCTCAGAGTTTGTTATTATCAAAATTGTTTAGAAAATATTTCTTTTTGAAATTTGCTGTTTAGTGTAGAGTCAAGTGATTCAGCATAGTTTGAACATTTCCTCCCTGGAAACATTTTAGGTAAATTTAAACTTCAGTGTGAGCCCATCAGATTAGGGCTCCCTTCATTTTGAACAGGCCTTTCTTTGATTTATAGACACTCACATGCCAGTGATATTTATCCTCTCTCTAATATAAACTGAGGCTGAGCTCCAGAGGACAGGTAGAAATTTCCTACTTCCAGGTTTTCTAGTTATTTCTCTTCCTGATCTGTCATTTTTTGTAGTTTGTTTCCTGTAATACAGATGTGCTCAGTAGGTATGGGAGACTTCAGGGAGAGGTTTGGCTGGCTGCTGGCACATTTGCTGGAAAGAGCAGAATTACAGCTCCACTGCTAGAGGGAGGCTTGTGGTGGTGTCAGCAATGAGGTTTCAAATGCGTGTGTACTCTGTAATTGTGGGATAAAAATGACAAAGAGAGAGGAGGGCCTGCTAATTACTAATAGTAATGTAAGTTACTGTGTGCGCAGAGATCCTAAAAGGTAATTTTCTGTGTGTGTTTTTCCCTTGGAATCTTCCTCTCGAACGCCTTCATCACAAGTGTAAGCCCGGACTTTTGTTCTGAATCCAAACTATCGGTATCACTTAAAAGCAGTTTCATTTTCTAGGTTTGTTGGAGATATAGCTGTTGTTTAAAGTGTGGTTTCTGAGCACAGCTTCTAGCTTCACTGTCTGACAATAATAGGACACAAGGAAAAAAGTAGGGGAAAGTATGTTAAGTGCTCAAATTCAGAGAAGCCTTACAATGCCTTTGAAAGTGAGACTTAACATGTTGCTCTCTCTTAGCTGTTATTTCCCTGATATGTAGAAGGCTACAAATATCACATTCCCCAATGTGTTAATGTGTTTTAAATAAAGTACTGACATGGCTGGCAGCATGTTTCAGCATTTGTCTGATCTCCTCCCTAAATACTGTCTGTCTCAGAAGCACTGTGAGGATAAATTAATATAGTAGAGAGTATCGTAGGTTGCTAAAAAGTGTGGGATTTTGCAGTTACATAGGTAAGTAGATACCTGTATCATATCCTTATAAGACATCTGATAAGGGAATTTGAGGACTTCTTAGTCTGTTTTTCCAAAGAAATGAGGCTTATGCTTCAACTTCCTGTCAGATGTGGTCAAAATACATATAGGAAGTCAGATTTCATTAGCTCTGCTCACAGCATAACTTGTGGGGCATTGAGATTCCAAGCTGAAATATTTCTTATTTTAAATTCATGGATACACTTGTAAAAAATTTGGGATCAGCAGCTGCAAGCACTTAGGATGGCATTAGTAACAAGGAACTGTTCAAGCTTTTTTCTTTGGTAGTTTGTTGGTGTTTTTTTTTTTTTTTTTTTTTTTTTTTTTTTTTTTTTTTTTTTTTTTTTTTTTTTTTTTTTTTTTTTTTTTTTTTTTTTTTTTTTTTTTTTTTTTTTTTTTTTTTTTTTTTTTTAATTGCACTACGTATTTGAATTTCAGAGAGGATTTAACCAGAAGAATGACTCAGATTTTGTCCATTGGTCACTTCCAATAGCAGCTCTATTCTGAAGAGATGATACTTGGAGTGACATCTGGCTCATTTCTATTTCCCCTATAATCCTTTCCATGCTTACTTTTCATGCCATTTTTCTGTGGCTCTGAGACTCCAGATTCACCCCTGCTGCTCAAGGCAGGTCTTGGTCTTGCTTCACCCCACCCACTGACATTGTTTTCCACATTTTGATATGAATTCTGACTTTTCCCTAAAGGCATAGATTTTCTATTTTATAAGTCTGTCCTAAGCTCCATTAACTGTTTCCTTAATGAAGTCTCCTGAACCTAAAAGCTGTTTCACCGTGTACACTTTGGAGAATATTATAAAGTATTTAAGTCAATAATCATCTTTATCTTTCCTTGCCAGATTCTTAAACTGGTCATTGCAGATGATGTGATGTTTTTATGGATACTTTGCCGGGTGTCACAGAGCTAAAGCTAAAACTTGCTAAATCCAATATAAAAAGATGCAGTAATGTTTTTCCTTTTCTTTGCAGTGCAATTTTCCAGAGAACCAGGATGGCTAGAAGGCACGTTAAATGGCAAGAGAGGACTTATTCCACAAAATTATGTTCAGTTTTTATAGCTTTGTGCATTGAACGCCAAGAAGGTGTACATGGTATCCATGGATTTTTGTTCTAGTCACTTGTCTCTACTTCTGTGACTGCTTTTAATCAATGAAGAGCTGGACTATGGATTGAAGATCCTAATCTGTATAAAGACATTGTGTTGCCAAATATGAATTAAAAAAAAAAAAAGATTCTTTGAGGGTTGGAATGAGTGGGGGGCACAAGTAAGGGGGATGGAGGAATAGGTTAATTTTTTAATAAGGTGCTTTTTTCCAATTGCAAAGAGCAGTAGTGGTATATTTGTTTGCAAAATAATTAACATTTTAAGTCAAGTATTTGGTTGATCTGTGACTCAACTTAGTGTCCTGGAGATTATGCCTCAATAACCAGCCTTTTTAACAGAATGTGAGGATGGTGGGGCACTGGTACAGGTTGCCCAGAGAAGCTGTGGATGCCTCATCCCTGATAGTGCTCAGGACCAGGTTGGATGGGGCTCTCAGCAACCTGGTCGAGTGGAAAGTGTCCCTGCCTGTGTGCAGGGGAGTTGGAATTAGATGATCTCTAATGTCCCTTCCCACCTGATCCATTCTATGATACTATGATTATTTGGGTTTGGAAGATACTGTTGGATAAAAAAGGCTATCATGCTGACAATTAAATTATATTTCAAAGTGGAATAGCCAGTATGGAACAGACATCTGTAAGTAAAATAATAGTTACTAAGACATGACATTTTTCAAATGTCTTCAAAGAGCACATTCGTTTATGCTGTGTGTATGATTTCATTTATTTTATAAAGATAAGACACGTGAACTTTTATTACAGGCTCCTATATGTCATGGTTTCTTTACTACTCATAAATATCACTGTAAATGAAATAAAATGTTATTTGCTATTTGACTTGTCATTCCTATGTTGCAGAATATTTTGCTCTGCTTCTGAAAGTTGTGACATGCAATAATTATTGGAGCTGTTTGCAGTCAGCCTCAAGCAGGCTCCAAAATGGATGAGGACCTTTTCTCACTTAAAATAGGCAACTCTGCAATTTTCAAGCCAAAAGGAAAAGAGAATCCCTGGCTTTTGCATCCTGAAGGTGTCCTGCATTTTATCTGTTATCTGTCTGTCTAGCTGGTCACTGACCTTGCCTTTCTTCCTTCCCCGTGATTGTCAGTTGTAAGGTCTTATTCATGTTCCAAGATATTGGAATCCTCAATAGCTGCCTCAGAATTTGTAGAATTGAGTAGTGAGAGTGGTATTTTGTGTTTAAAAAAGAAAAAGAAAAAAAAAGTTACATGCAATTTATCACTAATCCCTGTATTTTTCTCTCCTTTAAGTAAGATGCTCTGGGAGGCAGTGGAGAGGATGCAGGAAAATATGACAGTATGACATATAATACAGGCTAAATTATTTGTTAAAGTGAACTCTGTGAATTTTGAGTCATTTACTGCAGATATCCTTACCTTGCAAGTTTTTCTAACAAATGTGATTAGTAAACCGGTTAGTGGTTAAAGCTGCTTTAAGGTTGGAATGGCTTACCCCCCGCCTCCGAAGATTTAACTCCACACCATTATTTCATTCCTTTGCCCAGACTACACAGACCATTGGAGTGAACACAAATCATGTCCAGATGGAGCAATGGTGGGCCAAGCCAGTAGAGCTCTCCAGCACTAACCCTCATTGCCTGGGGCAGTTTCATTTGTTGTATTCTCCTGGTACTGGAGCGGTGACTCTCTGCCATACAGCTTTTAGGCAGTTCTTGTCTTGGCACAGTGGCTAAGGGACCCAAGCACTGAAGATGACTTTTGGACTTTTTTGAAGGAGATAAAGTTCCTTAATTTGCTCCTTGACTAAGTATTAAGGAAATAATTGCACCAATAATTTCTGAGCAACAGATTGAAGGTTTCCCTGCTCATATTTGTTCATGTGGCAAAGCACTGTTCTGGCTGGGTATCATGTTGCCTGGGCCTGCAGCTTTATCAACTCATTTGTGGTCTTAGGTTCATTCAGGAAGCAGGATGGTGTTTGTGTGCCAAACTCAGTTTTCATGGCTACCAGTTGGTGGAAAATGCTGAAAAAAGAGGGGGAATGTAAACCCTTGGTATTGGCCTCACAGGTGTGGCAGCAAGGTATGCTGGCTAGTCAGATAGTGAAGCTCTGATAACATGACACTGACAAGTTTTGGAAGCTTCCACTAATTTTGTTGTTGTTTTAAACCTGCAGTGCACGTTTGATCTTGTTCCAGCTTCTGTCTTCCAAAGTTCTCAGTATTTCTCAGCTCTAGCTCTGTGTTTGGTTGTTTGTTTGGTGTTGTTTTTTCCTTTTAACTGAGGTGGTTTAAAAAGGCAGATATACAGACAAGGAATACAAGACTTAGTGCCTATTCCATTCAGTCCTGTGACCCTATTTCACCTTTAGGGGAGATGTTTTGAGACTCCTGTTGCTCTTGGGGTCATGCAGAGCCCAAACAAGGAGAAAACTTTTCTACTGAGAAATGATACAGCTGAGCAGAGGTAATACTAACCCAAACTTTCTCACGTCCTAGCTGTTGTCTGAAGGCAGTGGTGTGAGCTGAGCCAGATCAGATCTGGCTTTCAGGCTAACCACACTGCCTGTTAGGAATATAGTTGTGGGAACTGCTACCCACCATATGGGTTTCCACATCAGCCCAGCTATACTAAGGCTGAGTACAGACTTGTTCAGCTCAGCAACCCATTCTTCATCCTCACTGCTGAACTGTGCTGCCAACGATGCCTCGTACTGACTGCTTGGAAGTAGAGATTCAAAGAAGATGCTAAAAATTAAAAACAATGTTAAGAAATCCAGGCCCCTTTCCCATCCTTTGAGATTGCTTGCTTTCCTGAAGCTGGCCTTAGGACATGCCTCTTGTCTGTCTTTTCCGTGGCTTGGTAAACTTGGGAGGAGCAGAGTAACACACTTGAGGTAGGAAGCACAGGGAGTCCGTTGTGGAGAAAGCCGGTTGAAGATTTCTTCTCTTTTGGCCTGGCAGCAGGAGTGATCATTCTCCATGGGTCTGGCCTAACTCCATCCTCTCACAGCTCCCCTGTCACAGCTATTGGCACAGGTTCAGCTTAATCCTCAGGTTGGGATGCCCCTCCCTTCCTATGTGCTGGTTACTCTGCACAGGGGCACGGACTTGTCAGTTTGCAAAAGCCGAGACTGCTGGTAGTGAACACGTGACACGGGCTGGAAATTAGAGAGTGTGAATTAGGAAAAACCCCAAACCACTCAAACCCAAGGAAACAAAAGTGCTTTTTATGCAAAATGACACTGGCCTTGCCATCACTGTGGGGCCTGAGACTGAATCCCCCCAGCCTGGGGAATTAAGGTTGAATGTGTGTTTGCTGAATAATTAATGGAAAAGATGAGACTCCTGACTAGCTGGGATCAGCAGAAATTTATACTCTGTGTTGGTCACTAGACAGTGCTCAGCCCTGTGCCTTGGCCAGGCAGCATTTTCACTCTGCTGGGTGAAAAGCCCCGGGGTTCTCAGGCTGCTGAATGTTGTTAAGTGCTGTCCCAGCTGATATTCATGGCAGGTTTCCTTCTGATGCCATCTTTCATCAGAAATGAAAGAAAAATCTCATTAGCTGATTTATGTGCCCTGTAATGAAAATAAGTGTTCCAGCTATGCTGCTTGCAGCTTTTGCTAGCTGAGCCTCTGTAGAAGAGACTCGGGCAGGAACTTGCCTTCCTCAATGCTCTGTTCCTTGTTCTCTTAACCCATTTTAACATTCTTACCTGGTTTGTGATTTTTAAGAAAAAGTTGGTGACAGAGGGCTTATATAGGTTGTAAGTGCGTGCACCAGTGCTAAACTGGGTTTCACTTAAAGTCTTCACTGGAGTTTCACCTTTTAAGCTGAATGTGCCTTGGACGTTGTTTTCTATGTCAGAGTCCAACTGTGCCCTCATCTGTCCTTGCAGTAGCCACAGGTAAGCTCCAGAAACTTCATCCTATCAACATCTACAATTAAAGTAAGAGCACTTTAAAAACCTTATGACACGGCACATTTTACCTAGCAAAATCTATGACATGAAAGGACATTTTTTTCCACTCCGTTCTACCTTTGAAATATTGTGCTCATGATAAACTCCCAGTCTCTGTAGACACCTGAAAGAAAGCAGTGTCCCAGCATGGGGTCAGATTACAAGTTTGGTTATGCTTTTAAGTAGCAATAGCGTGGTCTTATTTCTAGAACAGCATATGACAGATACATCTGCTTGTAAACATATGGGAAACTTTTCTTAACTCTGCTGATCCTCTACTATTCTTTCCTTCTGACAATTCAGCAAACAGAAAGCAGGTGCAAGGATTTTTTGGCAATAAAAAGTTTATGTAACTTGTTATTAAAAGAACAAAACACAATTAAATGGTGGTCTTACAGTGCAGACCTGGCTTTGTGCAGAACTTAGTGGTGAATTTCTGAGACAGACAGTGCACAGAGCAAACCAGGACAGTGGGAGTTTTATTTCCCCTTCTAACTAACTGTCTTACTGTAGTTACAACTAGAAAAGGCCTGACCCTCAGAAGGCGGTTTGAGTAGTCACAGGGGAGACCTTGCATATATAAAATAGGGAATACCTCTTTCCATGAGAGAAATTCTAAGTTCGGGCAAGGAGTAGAGCAGCCCACAGGATAATGGGAACTGGAAGCCAGACTGGTCTGGCTGCTGAAGGTTGCTGGGTTTGTTTGTTTTAGTGGGATGTAGCTTGTGCCCATAACAGTGCCAGCACATCACTTGTCAAGAACAGTTACCCAGGTTAAGTGAACCACATTCCTCACCCTTGGGCATTCCTTATTTCACAGTGTGAAAGTGAAGCCATCGGACGTGCTGCATTATCCAAAGTAACAGAGCCTGAGGAAACTTAAGTCTCTACATGGATGAAGAGAGATGTTATATTGCATTTTAGGTTGCCTTATGCTGAAGTGTCCAAGGCTGGGTTGGATGGGGCTCTGAGCAACCTGGTCCAGTGGAAGGTGTCCCTGCCCATGGCTGGCAGGGTTGGAACTAGATGGTTTTTTAAGGTCCCTTCCAACCCAAACCATTCTATGGTTCTGTATTGTTTCTAGATGAGCAGAAGCTTGTCTCTAAGGATAGCAATGCACCAGCACCTATCTGAGATTAAAATGCAAGAAATACTTGCAATCAAACCAGTTTAATTCATGTATA